TTTTATTTTATGTGGTGCTGAGGATCGAACCCAGTGCCCGGCGCATGCCAGCCGAGCGCGTTACAGCTTGAGCCACATCCCCAGCCCTAGGTTCTATCTTGACAACACGTAAAAATAAAGGTACTGTGTCCATCTACAACTAAAAACAAATTGAAACAAACAAAACAAAAATACTGTGATGCCAGGAGGGTGACATTCTAGGTTATTATATCATTTGGGCATATGAAATGTTTTTAAGACTTTTTCTCTGTTAAAGAAAGAGGTGACTGAGCCCATAAAGATAAATGCAGTTACTTGGTAATGCACCAGAACTGGTAAAATAAATAAATTGGTTCTTTGGGAAAGGCAGCAGCAGATCACTAAAATGAAAACTTTACCCGAGTGAGGTGATGGGTCTCCTTCATCTCTCCTGGTCTCATTGCTGGTCACAACTGAGGTGCTGGCACTACCAGGCACTACTCCCACAGGTTGGGGCATGACAACTCCATGATCCTCAACTTTGTCATCAAAGCTTCCCATGAGAGCCTTCCTGATAATATCTTCTAGACCAAGATTACTGGCAGGATCAGCAAAAGAATGACTTCTAGAGCTAACTGAGCCTGGAAGAGACAATCAAGCCATTTCTGCTTGTCTGAGAGGCAGATCAGGGCCACAGGGAAATGAACAGATCACACCAGCCCTCCAGCCCATTCAACTCGCACAGCACTCAGCAATTGCTTAGAACACCACTGAGGGCTCCATACAGTAGCCTTCTCCATGTGCAAATATTTTAAGGAATCTTATTACTCCAGGGAATCAGTCACCCACAGGTGTATTTTTCATTTAAAGGTTTTCTTTTTGTCAGCTTCCTAGTGTTTACACTGTTACTTAGCAGATTTGAATTTCTTTGCTCATTTATCTTTTCAGGAAGTATTGACTCTACTGACTCCTTAAATAAATTCTTATTTCATTTTTGCACACTGGAGCAGTTTCCTGGCACGCAGTCAGTACTCAATGTGTATTTGTTGGACTTGACTGCTACTATACCAAATTCATATTGGTAAATACACTGGTAAATAATGTATTTACCTGATGTAGTAACTGCTGGCAGATTGAAGATCTCAGTTCCTGGCTGAGCAGCTGCTGTATTTAAAAAACATTTAACTGAGATGAGACAATCATGTATGCTGATTTAAAAAACAAACAAACAACAACAACAAAAAAACCTAAACCAAAAAAGCAAATCTTACAATAAAATTAACCTTTTTATTTTCCATGATCTCAACCTTTATTTTTCATCTGTTAATACGTATACAAAATGAAATAGTTAAAAAAAAAAAAAAGAAAAGAAAAACAAGGAAATCAGGACATTAACAGGTGAGGTAGGAAACTCAAAATAGAGGTAATATAACTTACAAAGGGGAAAGAAACTTTGCACTGCTGGAGAAAAACATAGGGAAAAGTCCTTCTCCGAACAGGAATCCAGGCTTCCTAGCAAAGAATTTTGGACTTTTAAGTCGACTCCTGAAAGTACCAATGGGTTTGAGGTAGCCTGAGATTAGATTAAGGGGAAGGTCACACCTCAGTGAGTATGAAGTTGACTAAGTTCCTACCATGGCTAACTGAAAACATTCTCAGGACATTCCCTGGATCAGACAAAAGATTCTTTTGTTGATTCTTTCATTTCTGCTAACTGCAATTTATAACTGCACAGTTTAAATCTATAAATAATTTTGTGCCGGAAGGAGAAGGGGTACAAAATGGGGACATAAATGCTGTCTCTGCCACTTCTTTGAACTTGATGTTGAGAACTTTAAAAGGAAAAAAGAATGCAGGAAATAAGTGGGTGACTAAACAAGTAACAGGAGGATGGATTTTTACCTAGGGATGAAAGCCATCAGTGAAGATGGAAGAGTGTGCCTAGAAAGTAACTTTCCTGATCAGGAAAAACTTGACACTGATAAGAGGAACTAGGACAGTGGCTACGGATAATGGTCGTCTTTTGGGCCAGGTATCACAGTAAATAAACTAAATCTTAATAACACAGCCTTATAGTTACCACAGGATTTGTGAAATAGAACTTATTCATTCATATGCCAAATATTTATTGAATTGTTGGCTGAATCACAATAAAATTACCTGCTTATTGATCAAAAATGGTCAACTAATAACTTTATGAAGTTCAACCAATGATACTATATATTTACTTAGAATGTGCCCCAGTGTGGTACTTTCTGAGGCCACACAAATCAGAATCACCTGGGTAACTTGGTAAAAATGAAAAAAAGGACCCCTTGTTTAAGATAGAATATGATAAGTGCTCAGGAGGGGAAAGAAAGGAGAATATGACAACTGCTCAGGAGGGGAAAGAAATGTAGATATCTAAGAGCTGTGTGGAAGGCAAACAGAGGAAGCCAAGAAAGTGCGAGCGAGTAAGATATTGAAGAAGAAATGAGGTCTGCAAAGATCTGTAAGTAGAGATATGATGATAAAACCGGAGTTTCCTAGGGATGAAATTGACAGTTTAAACCCTCACAGTGGATGAGAGAGATCAGTGCATGAGAAGAGCCCTGAACAATCTCAAGGACTAACAAAGCAAAACTGAACTTCCAAGAAGACAGAAGAAACGTCCAAAGAAGTAGAGAAGAAGAAAAACAACCATCACTACCCAAAACAACAGGAGAATGTAGCATCTGAGAGACAAGAGAACAGAAGGAAAGAGCAGAGAAAGGAAAAGGCTCACTGTCAGAAGCTGCAAAGAGACTGTTTGCTATACTGGTAACTGAACCCAAGGTGGTCTATCACCGAATTCTATCTCCAGCCCTTATTATTTTGAGAGTCTAAGTTGCCCAAGGCTGGCTTTGAACTTGGGATTCCCCTGACTCGGTCTCCGGAGTTCCTGGGGTTACACTGTGTGTGTCACCATGCTCAGAATAAGGTAGTTTTAAAGCACTAAGGTTTTTAAAGAATGAAGTCATTGCTGTCTTTCATAGGAAAAAAAGGAATTGAGACAGAGCAAAGCTCTCCTGGTTGCTGATGGCAGTTCAATTCCCAATGAGAACTGAATAGTGCTCTAGGGCCTGGAGCCCACTGTGAATTCCCCTTTCCACAGTCAAGGTTTGCATTCAAAAATATCCTAGACTCTAGAGCAATTTTATTAATATTTGCCTTAAGACATTAATACTCTTTATTTCCTGTTAAAGTTGGATACTTGTTTCATCACTCATTTAGAATAGAGACCATCAGTTAACACAAAACTCTGCTCAATAAACATTTGTACAATTGGTGAGTGAGGGCTGCTGTCAAGGACAATGCAAAATACTAAGAGAACAAAAGTAGGCTTCTTCACTCCAAGTTGTATTTCTCCATCAGGAATTTGTTTCCCACTTAGGGGGCAAGACAAAGACTACAGGGTCAAGTGGAGACCATACCAAGGTGGAACAGTTCCCAACTGGCTGCTCTGAGATCTACATCTCCATGCTTTGACAGGTTAATCTTTGAATTCTGACAGGATTTCAACATGAAGGTAGTTGGTGACATTTGAGAAGCTATAAATAACAGATGAGACTATTGAAGCTTTGAGATAGAAAACTGTAATGATAATATTAAAAGGGGGATATGGTACCTATAGGGCTGACAGTAGTTCTGGTTGGCATTATCTTTGAGATGATTTGTTGCCATTAAAAAAAAAAAGAATCTAATAATTAAAAGCCAGGATAAATTCACATGGAAGTGATATTGGGCTCATCCTTTTTTCTCTTTGACATTCAACGGTTAATCACAAAGTGAGACAGATCCAAACACACATACACCTGGCAGTTCACAGTTCAGAGCCAACAGTTTCCTTTCTTTTGGCAGTGTCAGGAGACCGGTAGATGGTAGATGGCAGAAACAGAGCAAACGGAGGTCTATACAGATTCTACCACAGGATGGAAATGACGGATAAGTAAGACTGGGTGATAGTACAAGTGAGCGTGCTGCGTGACCAAGTGCAGGAGGGTTCTGATGAATGCATGCACATCAGCCCAAAGGAAAGTTCTGCCATAGAGTTTCATTGGATATTTAACCACAATCTGGCTAAGGATGCTGTGAGTATAGAACTGTTAGAAGCCTGTTAGTACATCACTGGAAGCATAGACTCTGGAGTTGGAATGCCTGAGTTTAAAACCACAGCCCCATTACTTACTAGTTATGTAACCTGCGCCCGTTATTAAACCTCTCTGAGTCTCAGTTTTCTCATCTACAAAATGGAGATAATTATATGTAGCATGTGGGTTTGTGAGGATTAACTGAATTCATATATACATACATATGTAGAATAGTGCCTAGCACACATTACTAGTCTCCCTTCGTTACAATTATTATTGATGATGTTATACGGTAAGTCTACCAGAGTTGCATATAAATGCTGAATGTCCAGAGAGACCCTGGTGGGATAGAGAAAGTAGCTGGAAGGGAGCAAGCATAGATTGCCTTGAGAAGGGGAAAGGTGTGATTTAAAAGTAGCCCACTAAGAGAACTTGAAACCTATATTCATACTTTGTGTATTTATAACTTCAGTGTTTAGACTGCCAACAAAAATGGTGATAAGATCTTAGGCTACCTTAATAACAATGAATTTACTCTAGATCTAATCACACTATTTTGTGGAGAGCAACTGAGATAGCAGGGTTACTCAGAACAAGGATGTGAAAAACAATCAATGAAACTAGGAATATTTACAGACTCACAAAGGACATGACTTCAGATAGTCTTTACCTATCTGAAGACATGGTGTATGGAGATGGCCCAAAAAGAAAAAACTAAAATCAGTGACTTAAAAACAAACCCCCACAACTGTCCAAACCCACATAAAAGTATCCCAGACATAGCATTAGTTCCCAGAGAAAATGGGCAATTTCAGAAAGGAGCAGGTTCCTGCTAAAGTAGGAACTCTTGTGAACTGGCAGATATTTGGGGACGAATTTAGGATTAAATATGTTGGAGGTGTTGAGGATCAGATGCCTTCAAACTTAAGGGTTACAGAAGAGGCAATGTTGGCAATACCAATACTAATGCATGTTTTATTCAGGGTTAATGAAAGAAATCCCACTTACCCATATCAGAGTCACCTCCACCAGAAGAGTTCAACTTACGAAAAATCTCCTGCTTCTTTGATTTAACCATGGGTGATGTATTTTCAAGCTTGGTGAAGAATGAAGGCAAGTAGCTTATACTCCCTGGTGAGCGGGAATCATTTCTGTTAGGAACACAGTTCAGTTTATTATAATCATATACTCCTAACCTGGGGACATTCCTATTAATAATAGTGATGGTCATAGAGTACTGGGAAAACTACAGCTTATATTTGTCGTTAAGAAACTATGTGACCAGGGGCTGAGGCTCAGTGGTAAAGTGCTTGCCTAGCAAGTATGAGGCACTGGGTTCGATCCTCAGCACTACTTAAAAATAAATAAATAAAAGGTATTGTATCCGTCTACCAAAAAAAATTAAAGCCAGTCAGTATACCATGTAACCCAGTAAGTGCCAAGATTTCAATTTTGAAAATATTTCAACAAAAATGACACAGCTGCATTAAAATAGGTTGGAAAATCATAATCTAGTTATATAATGTTAGGTAATGTTTAAAGTAATGTGAGTATATAACTTATAAGAATATATTACTTTTCATAGATGTTCCACAGTTGGAATGATAAGATAAAATGGGTTAAGGGCATAATAGAATACTTGAGCTCTCAAAGATGAAACTGTAAAATTGGGATTAAAATAGATAAATCCAAAGTAGGCACTCTTTAAGAAATCAACATGTAGCAAATGAATATTAGCAGGAAAATTTCGAATACTTTCGTTATGATGGTAGTTAAGGGGTACTAGGGATCAGACCCACATGCACTTAACCACTGCCACATTCCCAGCCCTTTTAAAATTTTTTACAGACAGCAGACCCCCGATTTTGAACTTGGAATCTTCCTGCCTGAGTCTACTGAGTGTGCCACTGTGCCTGGGAGAAACAGCTTATTATGGTGCTTTCTGTTTAATGGCATGAACTATTTATGATTACCATATAAATTGGGGAGCTATTTACTAGCTTATAGAGATACTTTTTTTTGAGGGGGGCAGTTTTCAGTACTGGAGAGTAAATCCAGGGCCTTCTTCATACTAGACAAGTGTTCTACCACTGAGCTATATTCCCAGTTTTTTTTTTTTTTTTTAATTTTGAAATAGGGTCTCATTAAATTGCTGGATTATAGGTGTGCAGCACTATGTCCAGCAGAATTACTTTATCATTTTATTATCTATTTATATATTTTTAAAATATTAATTTTTTCGTCATAGGTGGACACAATATCTTTATGTTTTTATGTGGTGCAGAGGATTGAACCCAGTGCTGCATGCATGCTAGGCGAGCACTCTACCTCTATGCCACAGAATTACTTTTTTTTTTTTTTTTTTGTGGTGCTGGGGATTGAACCCAGGGCTTCATGCATGGAAAGCAAGCACTCCACCAACTGAGCTACATTACCAGTCCTAGAATTACTACTGAAATTATAACTAATAGCACACCTGCCTATAAAATAGCAAGAATTCTTACTTAAGCAGTCATCAGTTGGATTTGAATAGACTAGCTATACAGTAAAAACAAAACTGTCCATTTTTTTTTTTAACAGTCATTTCAGTCCCAGCTGAGTTTAATGGAAGGGTTTCATAGTATAGGAAGCTACCAGTGAACTAATACACTTTAGAAATCAAGTCTCTCTAATAGTTCTAGGCGATCAATGATCTAGCTAGGGGCCAGAGATGATAACAGAGTGTATAGAAGGAAAGCTGTTGGTAACCTCATCTGGTCCTATAGATTCATTCATCATGCAAACACAAGAAAACTTATATCTTCAAAGGAGTTAAAACATGGTCCCTGTCTTAAACATGTAAATATATAATTAAATTTAATATAATTCCCTCTCCAAAAATAAATTTTCTTCATTTCAATTGAAGGCACCAATTTTGTTTGTTGCCTGTGAGTATATGCAATAGAAATACACTTAGGAGTTAGACTTTGGTTTAAAACTGCACTTTCCTCTTCTTATCAGTCTGACCAGAGGTAAATCATGGATTTACCTTTCAGCATCAAGGAGGGTGTTACACACCAAGGAAACAGCATGAGTATAGATGAAAAAGAATTCAGTGTAAAGCTGTGTAAACTAGGTCCTGAGGGAACTCAAATGCCATGCTAGCCATATAGCATTTTACTGTATGTGAGTTTTAGACAGATCACTCTGGTAAAGTATGAAGAGGGGCTGGAATGGGCCAAATCAAAGACATCTCATCATTCAGAGGGTTGGAGTTAGGATTAGAAAAGATAAAATATGTAAAGCAGTTTGATCTGTATATAGTTTGCAATGCTTTGTACACAGTAATGTAATGGTAATATTGACTAAATTGTAATATTGGTGAATCAGGAACCACCTCCCCCACCACAATTTTTTTTAAAGGAATATGAGGATTTAATTTTAAGAGTAATAAACATTTTTTTCAATCTATTTAAATGATGATATTTTTGCTATAATCCACTAGCATTAGCTCCCTGGGAGCACTAAGCCTGATCCCTGCAGAGGAGCTGTGGTTGGGAAGTGCACTCACCTCTGCTCTGTAGGCTCTGAGCCCCTCTGAGATAACAGCAACATGTTGTCCTGTTTCTCATGCACAACTGGAACCTGGGGTGGGGAGATGGGCTCGTAGGGCTCTGAAGGGACATGACTCCTCTCTGGAGATTTCCCAGGTCTGCTGCTGTAACATATAAAAGGTTAGATTGCCCTCTACATATTGACTGATCATTCTAAACAGAAACTGTTAACTCATGACTTCATACTGGAGAAGTAAAGATTGCTGATTTCTATTAGAAAACAGTTGTTATGAGTATTTGCTATATATCTAATTACTGAAAATGCCTTTTTCTCCACGGACTCAGGAGTCATATCCAGTTAGTACCACAGGACAGCAACAGCGGAAGCAGCATCAGCATCAGCATCAGCAGCACCAGCAGCAGCAGCTCCATCCTGAGGCTCTGCATGTACTTCAATATCAGACTCCAACCTGCTCTTTGGCCAGTTAGTTCAATTGTGCCCTTAAGGGTATTACTGTTTATTTTGGTCATAACTTATCTCATTAAGGACTAAACTGAAACCTAAGAGTTTTGACCAGTGAACCCACACTATAGTTAATGGTGTGAGACTTTCTCTGCAATTTAATATTTTTCCTCTGAATACCATTTTTTTTGTACTGGGCATTGAACTCAGGGGCACTCAACCACTGAGCATCTACAGTCCTATCTTATTTAGAGACAGGGTCTTACTGAGTTGCTTAGTGCTTTGCTATTGCTGAGGCTGGCTTTGAACTTGAGATATTGCTGCCTCATTCTCCAGAGCTGATGGGATCACAGGTGTGTGCTGCCACGCCCAGCTTGTTTAGAGTCTTTTAAAAGTCTTTTACATAGAGATCTATGCATACTAAACACCACTTGTGACTTTCAGTATCTGCATATTACTATTAAACATTTCCTTTCATAATCAATTCATCTAGTTCTGATTTTTTAGAAATATTTACTTCCTTTGATCTTTACCTCCCAAACTCTAAAATATACACCTTTACTTTTTGATTTTTATCAACTATTTTCCATGAAAGAGTTTGACTTACCTTTTTCTTGTTTTTAGCTATTATAATCTTTGTCTTTAATGTTTGTCTATTTAACCTTAAGCAGCATACTTCAACCTTTTTTTAAAATGAAGAAATTAGCATGTATATCCTTCTACCTCTTTTCTGTGACTTCCCTTCTCTTTCCTATGTCTACCAGCTGTATTTATTTGATTTACAGCATTTATATTCTATGCTAGAACTACATATAATTTTTTCTTTATTTTGCTTACAGATTAAAAATCAGTTATTGGTGTTAAAACAACAATACAAATTGTGAGAACAGTTTAAACATGCTTTTTTACTTGATTGACTTGCTTCAAAATAATTCAGTAGGGTGGGGGTTGTAGCTCAGTGGTAGAGGCTTGCCTAGCACGTGTGAGGCACTGGGTTTGATTCTCAGCACCACATATAAATAACTAAAAATAAAGATCCACTGAAAATTGACAAAAAAAAAAAAAAAATCCAGAAAAGCCTGTGCAGTTGCACATACCTGTAATCCCAGTGGCTTGCGCGGCTGAGGCAGTGGGTTCCTGAGTTCAAATTTAGCCTCAGCAACTTAGCAAAGCCCTAAGCAACTCAGTGAGACCTTGTCTCTAAATAAAATATAAAAAGGGCTGAGGATGTGGCTCAAAGGGTAAGTGCCACTGGGTTCAATCAGTACCAGGGTGGGAAAAGGGAGGATAAAAATGAAATGAAACTGGGTATTTACTGAGGATTATAAAATCTGGGTGATAGGAGTATGGAGATGTATAATACTGTTGTTTTTGTATATGTTTGAAAATTCTGTAATAAAAGCTTTTTTTTTTTTTTTAAAAAAAGACTCTTCAGCTTCTTAAACACATTATTCTTACTTCCTTCTGTCCTTTCTAATTTTGTGGGGTGGCAGGCAGGCTAGAGAATCATCTCTGCTACAGATTTGTCTTCATATTCCCAGGTATGGTTCATCAGCCTTGTGTGTCTTCCCCATATCTGCCACTCTTTGCTCTGTTGATATTTCATTTTTTAAAAAACCATTTTTAGTGTAGATGGACATAATACATTTTATTTATTTGTTTGTTCGTGCTGAGGATCAAACCCTCACATGTGCTAGGCCAGCTGAGCTACAGTCCCAGCCCAATATCTCATTCTTGTTCTCTAAATTCTTATTAATTCCCT